CGAGGCAAGTGCTCTGCCCCCTGCTTTGGGCCATGTCTTCATATCACTGACAGTACAGAAGGTTTGTTTATACCAGTGTCACCAAAAACACCTAAGCAATGCACTGCACTGTGGTGTTGCCATGGCCAAGTGTCACCAAATGATAGAGATCTTCAACTCCAAGATACACATAAGCAATGACCAGTGCGTGTGCAGTCGTTACCCAGCAGCTACAGACAACAGCATGTCAAATGTATAAATGCCTGGTGGTGGAGTTTGGCAGGGCATGTGTGGGTGGAGAGACAGTACAGACCACTCACTTGTCCTGGGTGGCAAGAAGAGCCTGGCAGGAAGAGGCTGAGAACATAGTGGCAGAAGAGGTGCAAGAAGTGCCAAGTTGCAGTGTCCAGCTCCTGCCGCCTCCCTAGAGTGTCTGCAGAGCAGAAGCCCTGCGAAGACTTCTCAGACCCCAGAGGAAGGAGTTTCGGGGAGTACAGAGGAAGGAGTTTTGGGGAGTCCATCTTTCTCGGGTGACTATGCAGGGGGAGATTCCTGGCAGTTCTTGCTAGACCTGACCCTCTTCTCTGCCAGGTAATAAGGAAGCATGCTGATCCAGGCTTCAGTGGGGACCCAAGAGAAAACGCTAGCTTGCACGTTGGGGTCTCTGCCTTAGTGGGGCCCCAGCACCTCTGCTCATAGTGGAGACAGAGGAGGATGTGAATTTGAGGGGTGCAGTTTTGGCACACTGTGTGTGTGGTCCTGTAACTCATGGTCCAACTATTGTGGACCTTACATAAGAGAGACCTGGGAGAAGGGTGTCTGGCAAACGGCGTCCTGGGAAATCTGGAAGCTGTCCACAGCAGGCTGAATTAGTAAGCGGCCCCCACACCCAAGGCAAACACAGAACTCCCTTTGGGCATCGGATGTAAGCCCTGCCCAAGGCTTCACAGACACATTTTGCATTTCAGAGTAAAACAAAACCAGACAACAGAAGACCTAATCCTCAAAACCCCTGCTGCAGGGAGCAGAGGTCTGGATTATGCTACGCCCCATATTTGCATATTGTTTTTACCTTGTCACGCAAACTTCCTGGGCAAGGGCTCCAAGAGGGCCAAGTGGGTGGGAGGAAGTGGCCTTAAATATGACCTCTCTTGGCTCTGGCTCATTTCAGAAGCCCCAGCCATTGGGAGAGGCTGTGTTGAAGGTAACTGTCTTCCCCCGGTTCCTTTATTTTACTGTAGGTGGGAATACCTAGACAGAGCCTACAGAGTCCCTAATGGTTAAAATCCTTTGCTCATCTCTGAAGGGAGCTGATCCTAGGGGCACCAACTCCTGAGCATCTTCTTGGTTTGGGTGAACTAAGGGTCTGAAGCTGGATTTCTGACCATCCCTTGCCCTAGGAAATTGAGATCCCAGGGGGTCTGTGGAGGAGGTGCCCTTAAGAGGCCTTGGATGAGAGGCTTTGATAAGCTATGCTCTCCAAAAGCCAGTAGGGATGAGTAGCTAAGGGGATGCACTACAATTAAAGATGGCATGGGTTCAAACCCTGACTTTGGCATTTAGCAACTGCAAGACCAAAGACGGCATTATGTGGTCTTCAGCCTCGGTTTCCTCATCTGTGAAGTAGAGTCATAACTGTTCCTCCTTCTTGGGCACTACCACAGAGTTTCTGTGAGGACTGAGGGAAGGCTGAGCCCAGACCTCGGCATGCCTGGGGTTGTGTCAAAGTAGGCACAGGCGAAGGGAGTGGGCAGTGGGGTGCCGGAAGCAAGGCCCAGCCTGTAAAACAGCTGGGTGCAGAGAGTGGAATCCCAGATTCTCGCATAGCTGCTCCCACCCAGGTGCCAGGCATATTTGCGAGTGCTTTGCATCTCTGTTAATTTTTCAGTAGCTCTGTGAAGCAGAAGGGACCCTGGAGCCGTCCTTTTTAGAGGCCACAATTCTAAGTGACGATCCTAGGGTGTGAGCCCAGCATAGTCTCACTCACACAGGCTCTTCCCTATTGAGTCACCTGCCTTGATGGCCAGTGATTGAGACTGTGGCCCTAGTTTAATCATACAAGCTCAGGAGGGATGCAGAGAACAGTCCTGCAGGGGTACGTGCCTGAGGTTGCGGCTAGCAGGCACCTGGCCTACAGGCTGGCAAGGCCTTGGGCCCCAGTGAGGGGGCTTCCTCAGCCTCCTGTCAGATTGTAGGGAGGGCACCATGCCATATCCAGGCTTAGGGCACCACAGATGCCAACAGGGTCCCTCTTCCCTGAGCAGAACATCTGGGGAGGGGCTGGGAGTCAGCACCTCATGGGGAAAGGAGGCAGTGGAAGGAATCAGAAACCAAATTCAAGCAGAATCATATACTATATCAATATATAGGTTTGGGGTCATTTTTGTTTTTGAAAATGAAATTAGCCTGATGTTTCTGATGTTAAAAGTTATATATGCAGCATAAATGAATATCTCTGGATACATACAGGCCCACGCATGCCTAGTACCCGGGTTGTTCCAGTCTTAGCCCTACATCACGGCATATATCTGCAGGAGGCAGAGTTTGTGTATGTGCTGAATAGTTGGCATCATCTTATGCCCAGATGCTATAGATTATGCCATCGTACAGGTGCAGCATGGTTCATTCAGCTGCCTCCTGCCGGTGGACCTACAGGGACTTCCTGGCATTACTGTTACAAATCAACTGTGGCTACTTTCTTATTCATGAATATTCGGGAACACTGTAATTACTAGAAACTCCTAGATAAGAACCTCCTGTATCACAGACAAGGCTTGGAAGGCTGCTCTTTGACTGTGCCCACTTGTTCCCAGAAGGGGCATCCCAATATTTGTCTGTGTGGTTTCTTGTGCCAGTAGCAGGAATCACCCCCACATTTTTATTTTGAGACAGGATCTCAATATGCAGTACAAGCTGGCCTAGAACTTACTATGTAGCCCAGGCTGGCCTCAAATTCATAGTGATACTCCTGCCTCAGCCTCCCAGTATTACAGGCATATGCCATGCTTGGCCACCTCCACATTTTGCACCAAAACCAGAAGCCTACTTTTGCTGGCACCAGGAATAGCACACATTAGTTTAAAAACAAAGCCTGGTCCAGCTCTGCCAAGTCACCAGTACCTTCGAGAACAGAGGCTTAGACTGAAAGATTTTTTAGGTATTAGAGTGCTGGCTTTTCTTTAATCAGCTTGGCATGGAATCAAGATAGGTATCCACATAATTAATCTGGAAAGTGGGTGGCCGATCTTTTTGACATTTGCCTGGGAATGCGTCATCGGCAGTCATGCAGGCAGACGCAGGAGTGGGACTGAAAGGATACCAGGAAGGGCCCTGCCCCTGGCACACTGCCAAGAACACACTATGGGTGGTTGTGCTTAGGATTCCTGTCCCTGCTCCGCTCACACACTGCAGAATGTCCTCTGTTTTGGGAGATATCAAGCCCACCAGAGGGACCAGAAGTCTGCAGCCATGGTGGGGGGGTTCCACTTCTCCTGGCTCTTCCTATAAAATTAACGCTGCCAGGGTGCAGTGAGAGTGAACGAGTGGCAGGGCAGAGGCAGCGTGCAGATCCCAGGCAGAGACGTGCACCCACCCGCTGCAAGGCTCTCTGTGTTTCCAGGTACCATGAGCAGGATCAGCGAAGTGGTGAAGCAGGCCCGCACTGCCTTCCAGTCAGGCCGGACGCGCCCGCTGCAGTTCCGGATTCGCCAGCTGGAGGCGCTGCGGCGCATGATCAAGGAGCGAGGGCAGGACATCTCCAGCGCGCTGGCCGCCGACCTGCGCAAGGTGCTGGCGCCCCTAAGGGGGTGGCCGCTGTTTGGGAGAGCGGGACAGAGATGCGACAGGCGCAGGGATAGTAGTGGAGTGTGTGTAGGGCATCTGTTGCTCGCTCGGGAGTTTGTCTGAGCGCTTTACAGAAACCTGCGTGTGGCCCGCAAACATTGCTTTGTGACCATGACGTAGAGGAGAAAATGAGGCTTAGAAGAGATTAGGAACAGCTTAGGGTCATCACGCGATTCATCAACACTCAGAATGGGACAATGGCCCTCTTCTCTGCACTGCTCCCCGCTGTACCCCAGTACATCCCCGGGTTGGGCAGAAGAGACTCCTTTCCCGCCTTCTGTGGGCTGTCTTCTCCTGGCCTGGCTTCATCTCACAAATGCAGCAGTAGGCCACACATTTCAGCCACCCCCCGCCCACCTGATGCCCCTAAACTTCTGCTCCCCTCATTCTTCCGCCCTTAGTTCTACCTAGGAGCCCCGGTTGCCCCTAGGGGGCACCTGCTCCTCAGGCCTCCACATCCCACCCCAGCTGCTCCATCTCTTAGCCTGAACAAATCCACACACGTCCAGCCTCACAAACCTCTCACCTTGCCGCCAGCAGCTTACCTACACGTGCTTCCACCTTCCTTGCACCTGGGAGGAGAGAAGCAGTGTCTCCACCGTAACTCAGGAGCTCACCCCTGGTACCATCAAGGCTCAGCCACCAACTACCCCTGAACTACTGCAGTTTTAAAGATTGGTCAAGACGTCCCATCTTAAAATAAAAACAAGAAGAAAATTCTTTAAGTTCATAGCCAAAATTCATAAAAATGATGCCTATTCCCATCTCCTCACCCCTGCCTGCTCCAGGAGGCCCCAAGCCATCCAGCAGCCCACTGCCCCAGTGGCTAACCCTCAGTTCTGGTTCCCTGGGTCTCCTCTCTGGCTGGGTTGGGAACCATGGTGAGCACTGAGCCCTGGAGAGCCCCTGCTCATATCCTGATTACACAGCCATGGCTCGGCACCCCAGCTCACACCCAGCCTCTCCTATAGAATGAATGGGCCAGCTACAATGAGGAGATGGTGTACGTTCTGGAAGAGCTGGAGCACATGATCCAGAAGCTCCCTGAGTGGGCTGCAGATGAGCCTGTGGTGAAGACCCCCCAGACACAGCAGGACGAGCCCTACATCCACTCAGAGCCCCTGGGCGTGGTCCTCATCATTGGTACCTGGAACTACCCCTTCAACCTTGTCGTTCAGCCTATGGTGGGCGCCATTGCTGCAGGTACTGTGGGCTCCATTCCATGAGGGGCTCAGGCCTCTGCGAAGAGGGGCTTGGGGTTAGGAACTAGTTTGACAGGTCTATCACAGAAGACCAAGGGACCAAACTGTTTAGCCAGGCTTCCTGGTACCCGAAGCCAGCCAGGCAAAGGTGTTCATACGGCTGGTCTCTCTCTGCTGTGGTGGGGACCACTTCCAGCCAAGACGGCCCAGGAGGGGTCAGCACTGCTCTTCCAACTAGGCCAGAGAATCTCTCTCCTTTCCCAGCCTCCAAGCAACTACACAGGGGAAATGATGAAGCCCTGGCGTGTGCATACTCTGTTGTTCCTGTACTCTATGTCCATGTGCCATGCACACTTCCTTCTACTCTCCATGGACACAGATGATGGGGGACAAGCTCTAGCATAAAGCTCCAGGCTTGGCCATTGAGATAGCAGAGTGGGGGCAGGGGGTTGACATGGCCCTGAGTCAGTGTGCTCTTCAGGGAATGCAGTGGTCCTGAAGCCCTCGGAGCTGAGTGAGAACATGGCGAACCTGCTGGCCACCATCATCCCTCAGTATCTGGACAAGGTAAGGTACTTCATGGCTCCAAGATGAATGTTCTGGGGGCCTGGTCTTTGGGGCTTGAAAATTAGTGAATTCTTTCATCCAAGGGCCAAGCCTCTGGAGTGAAGCTCCTAGAAGCTGCCCTCTTCTGTCAGGCTGATAGAGTACTGAGCCAGGACAGGGGGCTGGGAGCCAGTGGTCAGCCAGGGTGGACAAGGGTGCCAAGGTGCAGGGCTGCAGTGTTGGGCCACGCCCACACCCATGTGCAGAAGTGAGTTTAGTTTTTCCCTTTCTCCTTGCATGGAAGGACCTGTACCCAGTGATCAACGGGGGTGTCTCTGAGACCACAGAGTTACTCAAAGAGCGATTTGACCACATCTTGTACACGGGCAGCACAGCTGTGGGGAAGATTGTCATGACGGCTGCTGCCAAGCACCTGACCCCTGTCACGCTGGAGCTAGGAGGAAAGAGCCCTTGCTACGTGGACAAGGACTGCGATCTGGACGTGGCCTGCCGGTGAGGAGGCGGGGCATGGTAAGGCTGCAGTGGCTGTCCAGTCTGCCAAGTGCTGCAGTGCTGCCCTGAGTAGCAGTCAGTTCCTGCCCCACAGAGTCTCAGTCATACACACAAGGGTGGTAGGAATTGGGGGGTACCCCACTCATGGAAAAGGCACAAGGAGTCCAGGAAGGCTTCCATGAGGAGGAGAGATCCAGGTGGAACTCTGCTGCTTAGGCATCACTGGAGACCCGGTGCTCCCAGCAAAGGCTGCAGGAGGTGTGGGATGTTCAGTGGCCCCAGGACTTCACCAAGTCTAGCCCTTGGCTAAGGCAGGGATCACCTAGATCTAGATAGCATGACTGAGGAGAAGAGCCCTTGCCATTTAAGGCCTTAGGACTTTCATCCAGGCCTCCCCATACTAGCCAGGGCTCTGGCCACCTCTATACCCCACAAGTATGGCCCCACAAAATAGGAAGTGCAAACAGACAATTCACTCAGCTATAGGGGACTGTAAACTGTGATCAGAAATGCACAGAGCCCCACGTATCCCAGATGTCCTCCAGAAATTCCCAATCTGTCATAGGTGAGGTGAGGACCCGCAGGCTCTGCACAACTTTTGTGGGCAGGGAAGGTTCCTGATGGGCTCAGTACAGTGTCTGGGAGCGAGGGGCTGCTTAGGACTCCACGGTAGTGGCTAGCAGCTCGCAGCTCCCACTTATGGGTGAGTTCCCCTATGTGCTGAGCCACTAGGCCTTGGCCCTGAGCACACGGAGTGGAATGTGTGTCCTGGGGGAGCTCCCTGTGGCTCCCAGAAAGTAACCCACTTGGGAATTTTCACAGACGCATCGCCTGGGGCAAATTCATGAACAGCGGCCAGACCTGTGTAGCCCCTGACTACCTCCTCTGTGACCCCTCAATCCAGAACCAAATTGTGGAGAAGCTCAAAAAGTCACTGAAAGTGAGTAAGGGCCCCCATGGGCTGTGGGAAAGAAGCGGGGGGCATAGGCAGGACATGATGTCAAAATCGATATCAGGATTTAAGCAAATACTGGATTTTTTTTTTTCCTTCTGAGTGTAAAGGTAATACATGCTCACTGTGGGTAGCTTGGGAAAGATTAAAAAGCACAATGGAGATAAAGGCTTCCTACTGTCAAGTGGTGGGGAAGCCTTAGCCAGGACAAAAGCCCATGTCCCTCCCTAACTCTCGTCTTTTCTCAGGAGTTTTATGGAGAAGATGCCAAGAAGTCCCATGATTATGGGAGAATCATCAATGCCCGGCACTTCCAGCGGGTGATGAGTCTGATCAAAGGCCAAAAAGTGGCCCACGGTGGCACTGGGGAGGAAGCCTCCCGCTACATAGGTGTGTGTCCTGCTGCCCGGGTCCTCGACAAGTTTGCAGCACACAAGCACAAATACTTGAGAAGCAGGCACAAGTCTGTGGAGACATAAATCACTTTATCAGTGGGCCTGGGATTGGCTCTGCCCTCTGCAGGCAGGGGCTGAATGTGGCTTCTAGGACACCCCAGAGGTTTCTCCTCACAGGCCAGAGACAAAGGCATCATCTCCCCGCCCCCATCTTGACACATCGGATGAGGACCATAGAGGCCACAAGAGTCCTAGGTGGCCAAGATGTGAGGCTGCCCCCTGCTCAGCCTGGGGGTGACCAGATGTGGCCCCTTTAGTGGCTCCCAATTTGTTGAGGAAACAAATGAGCTACAGGGGACCCAGGTGGCTGGCAGACTGAGAGTCATTCCTCCCACACAGGTGAAACCATAGTTGTTCCCATGGTCTGGGACAAAGGTGGAAAAACCTCTCCAGGCCTCTTCCTGCTCCTCTCAGCATCTGCAAAGAGGTGGGGGCAGGAGCTAGATACACAGGGTATATGGGGGTCTTAGCACCAGCTGACTCTGGTTCATTTCCTGCCTCAGCCCCCACCATCCTCACAGACGTGGATCCCCAGTCCCCAGTGATGCAGGAGGAGATCTTCGGACCAGTGTTGCCCATCATGTGTGTACACAGCCTGGAGGAAGCCATCCAGTTCATCAACCAGCGCAAGAAGCCACTGGCTCTCTATGTGTTCTCCAGCAATGACAAGGTGGGCTCCTCCCGGATGTAGTGCCTGCAGGCAGACAGGGCCTGGGCTCAAATTGCAGCTGTGTGACCTTGGGCAAGTCAGTTCACTTCTTGGAGCCTGTCTGGCCTCGTCTCTAAGACCAGGACAAAAGCATCCCCCGAGAGCTTTGAATGAAGTGATAACCGACACAGAGTCTTGTTCCTGGTCACAGGAGCTGTTGTTTTTATTATTTCACTGCGTGGTGCTGAGAGCCATGAGGTCTTTGTGGGGGGACAGGGGTGCTGGGCTGAGGATGCAGGAGCTGGTGCTGGGACTCGGTCTCCACCGGCTTGGTTCTCGTGGCACACACGGTGGGAGGGAGGCTGGGGCATCTCCTGCACAGGAGTGTGAGGTCAGCAGCTGGGTCTCGATGTAGGTGATTAAGAAGATGATTGCAGAGACATCAAGTGGTGGGGTGACAGCCAACGATGTCATCGTCCACATCACCCTGCACTCTCTGCCCTTTGGGGGCGTCGGTGAGTCTAAGGCTGGGTCACTGCCACCTACCTTCCTCCAAGGGCCCCCGGGGAGGACAAACCCCAGGAGACTGAGGAGGCCCAGGAGTACCCAGGGACCTCCAACTTCCTGCAACCTTCCCATTTGTACCCCAAGCCTCTGCCCTGGAGTCTATGGAAAGTAGAAGTCACCTGGCATGCAGGCCTGTTTCACAGAGATCCCAAATCAGGGGCATGTAACCATTTATGATGTAGTTGAGATTAGACTCTTCCTGGACACTCTTTTGTCCCCAGCATAGATGTCCTGGTGGATACCCTAGGGATTAGCCACCTCCCTTGAGCGTATAGGTACAGTTGGCGTGGGCCCCTTGCCCTGAGCAGGCTCCTCCTCAGGGCACAGTGGCATGGGGGCCTATCACGGCAAGAAGAGCTTTGAGACCTTCTCCCACCGGCGCTCTTGCCTGCTGAGGTCTCTGCAGAATGACGAAGCCCACAAGGCCAGGTACCCGCCGAGCCCAGCCAAGGTGAGAAGCAGGAGGTGCTGCCAGGGAGTGGGCTGTGCAGGATGTGGGCCAGGCCCAGGTGCTCACTGCTCCCTCCTGGTGCTTCTACAGATGCCCCGGTACTAAGGACGCTGCTCCATCAGGCCTGTCTGCGCTTGCTTACTCCTGTCTGCACTGAGATGCCCTTGCTGACTCTCCTGCCTGTTGGAGAACTGCTTCTGGAGCCCCAACCTGGCCTTTTGTACCCCTCTGGCCTGTGCACGTCCCTGCCTTCCAGATAGGCCCAGCCCTCTCCTCTACCAGTCCTCAGCTCTTATAGACTCAGACCAATAAATCTTTCTGAGTGAATAGTTGAACAGTGTACACGATGCTTCTTTTGTGTGCTGCATCAATAACCCTGTCTAACCCAATTCCACTGCCCCTCAAGGCTTGGTCATTCTGTTGAGCCCATGAAGACACCCCAGTGGCCTCATGCTCACACGTGGCCATGGTATCGGGTATATCTGTCTTCCATTTACACTTTAGGATGTCAGCTCCATTCCCAGTGTGTCCAGCCAAGGAGATGCCAGGACAGCTGACCATTTATGTTGTAGTTGAGATGACAAAGTGGCTCCTAGCCCAGAGGCAAAAAACTCTTCTCAAATCAGACATGGCGTCTAGGGTAGGGACTGCTCCATATGATGGCACAATGGTCAACAAGAAGCCCTTTGCTGTTGTCGGGGTATTGCAAAGGGACAGGAAACCCAGTCAGCACCAGGACCCCTGATGCCCTTGCCAGATTTCTGTTAGGTACCTTCTCGTCCCTGAGTCCAGCCTCAGGGGCCTGCAGCCCCATGCTTTCACCAGCTGCCCAAGGCCTACCTCTGCTGGAACTGTACCATTGTCTACACTGCACCAGGCATTGGTGCTCCCAGCAAAGGCCTTTGACCTGCCCCTGTGGCCTGCTGGTCACTATGGCTTCTCTTCCTGCCCCATTACCACTTCTGTACTGGCCCGTCCTCATTTCTAGAACCTCATATCTCACATCTGAAACTCAACCCTCACACTAGAGCAAACCAAACAGCCCTTTATCTTCTTCCTGTTCTCCCTCTGATGAGGGGCAGGAAGTAAACTGCTCTTCATTGTTTGAAGGCCATAAAGTGATTACCCATTTACATCTGTGACTTATTCTACAAATGTACAGAGAGGCAGATGGTACCAAAAGCAGGACCCTCTCACAGCCCGCTCCTCTCCTAGTTACTGTCTCATTTCTCTACGTTCCTTTCTAGCGAGTCTCAACTGAGTGGTGTCTGTGTGACATAAAGCCCAACACAGGGACAGGTGACAACTCCTGAGCCCTTTCCCTGTGACTCACTAAAAGCTTGATTTCTGTTTCCTTTCAATGCTTTGGAAGGGATTTACAAGTTGCTTTTGCTAAAAAAAAAAAAAAAAAATGAGCTCCACTGGGGTCTGGGTACGTCTCCTGGGAACCAGTGCAGTATGCTCATCCCAAGCAGTGACTGTAAGTTTTATTTATAAGAAGGTGCCTAACTTCCAGTAGGCACCTCCCTCCCTCTTGCAGAGCTACTTCCAGTCATAAAAGCATACTTAGCTAGCACAAATGGCCACCTTAGTTCCCAGGTAAAGTTAGTATTATTCTGACAGGGATGGGTAACAAAATAGCCCAGACTGGGTGACTCAAACAGCAGTGCTTGCTCACAGTTCTGGGGTCTGCAGAGGTTGGTTTCTTCCAAGGCATCCCTGCTTGGCTTGCAGGCAGCTGCCTCCTCCCTGTGTCTTCACAGGGGCTCCTCTTCGGCTGGGCACATTCTCCGTGCCTCTGCGCATCCAACTTCCCTCTTACTCAGGGCTACCATACGACCTTGGTCACCTGTTCCAAAGGCCCTGTCTCCAAACACAGCCTCAGTCTAAGACTCTGAGGTTTAGGATTTTAATGTGTGAATTTGGGGATGGAAAGCAATGCAGTTCAGTTCAGAGAGCCCAAATAAACCATGTGTGACAGACAACGATGTCAGTCCTCTTACTTGAGAACCATGGTTTATGTAGAAAACACATGGATCAAATTATATCTGCTTGGCTGTAAGGGAGTGAGATTTCTTTCTGCCTTTGTAAAAGCTTCACAAGTTGACTTGATGCTTATTGAGTAAGTAAACCATTGTCTTTGTTTGCTACCTTTGTGGAAATGAGTTCTGGATTGGGAGATTTCTATTTTAATTGTTTTTTTTTTTTTTTTTTTGGTGGAACCAGGGATTGAACTCAGACCCTTGC